TATAAATAGTATATTTTAATATAATATACTTCATTCAAGTTTAAAAATGATTCAAGCAGTCACCAGTTTATGTCAGTGGCACACAGGCCACGCACATAACTGTTTCCCTTACTTAATTAACCACCAGTAATATAAACACAATAAAATACAACACTTATGAGTAAAAGTCGACATCTGATCGCTTTTAAACGTGAATAAAAAATCTATATAACATAGATATGCTAAAATATATTACAAAATGTGTTAAATATATTTTGTTTAATAAAAATTAGTATAAGCTGACAAGCTGTTCTTATTCATAAATACTCTTAGTATAGGTATAAAAAAATTTAATAAATTTAAATGCGTTCTCGTAAGTTTTTTAGAAATAATAAAATAAATGATATTGTTCATTGTATAAAATGTAATACTCAATAAAATTATATTATTTATAATAAATAAAATAGATGATCTATAAAAATACATTATGATTTATACTTTTCATAATGTAAAAAATATTTTAAATTATGTTATCTACTATGGACTACACTCATAATTAAAGACTAAACTCTTTTAAACCTCCTTGCTAAGTTTTATAAAATGTTTAAAAATTCATCACGAGTGAATTATGCAAGAATGTGGATAAATGTCATTGTGTACTTGTTAATGATATCTAAATTTTTAACTAATCTATAATTTTAAATAAAATAAAACTATTCCATATTAAAAATAATAATATCAAGAAACATAGTTAATTTATTTATAAACTCAATCTTCTTTACATTAAAGTTTATCATAATGCAATGTATTTATTAATTTGTAAATAAAAACTTACAGATGGTGCTGATGCAATTGAAAAGGCTCTCGGGCGTATTGGAGAAAAAATTTCAAAAAGATATTCTAAAGATAAATTAGCTGTCGCATGAGGAAAATCAGCCAATACTTCGAGAATAGTTCTTCTTGGACGATTACAATAACTATAGAGTTCTTCTTGTCCTTCAGGGGTAGTAAATTCCTTCAGTTTTTCTTTTTCCAATGCATTGTCCGTGAAGTATGACAACAATTGAAATGTATACCTATTTGGTATAATCTACATAATTTTATTTATCATCAAAAATATGTATGTCATAAAAACTGAATAATATTTACATTTAAATCCCAATAGTATTTAGCACATTGATATAAAGTAAATGGTTTGCTCAAATTGTAAGGTATAGGCATATCATCACTGCATTGTGTCACATTCAGTACTGTGGTAGGGTTTAATTTCATATTCTTATTATCATTAAGCAATTGAAAAAAAATGTTCACAGATGTTTCAGAGTTAACTGGACGAACCATTAAAACATCTCCAGGCAAATAGTTAATACTGTTTTCTGAATACTCAAATCTTAACAATCGTACATCCTAAATAAATGATTTAATAAATATAATAATAATTAATTGTTATTCATTTATAAATTAATTATAATTAGTAAGCCCATATTATAAAGAGAAATCTAGAAATACTTATTGATTTATCTATATAATTTTAGTTAAATACTAATAAAGGTGCACTGTAGTATTACATAGGGTAAATAAGTAGTGAGTTACAGCCTATAAGACTAAGACACTAGAAAACAGATAACCAAGTTTAAGCTTTAAATAACTATAAAAATTTATCAAACTTTAATAAAAATCAAGTAAATATATAATTTTTATATTGATATTTTAATATTTTATTATAAAGATTATTATCTATTATAATGTTTTTCAACTAGTGTGTTACTAGTTAAGTTCAAATGTGTCATGAAATATATTAAAATTACATAAAATCAATAAATATTTTTGATACAATTTACAAAAATTAATGGGTATTTGATATAATTTTTATGATGATTAAAAATAACTTATCTGATATCAACATTTATCATTATTTATAACTTATATGCTATATTTTTAATTTTACACTGCTAATTAAAATTGAATTTACAGATTATTCTTATTTTTTATTGTCACAAAACATAAAATATTTTATTAGTATGTCGCTTTATTACAGAGGTTAAAAAACACTGATTTTTGAAATTGCTTGTATATTTTAAAAGGCACATATAAACATGAACTACTTTCAATTTTATGAAATTTTTTATGAAAAAAAAAACAAATATTTTTAAATATAAGTACTAATATATGATTATGATAATAGATATCTAAATTTACAGAAAGGATCAAAAATCAATTATTTTAATTAAAACATCAAATACTCCCCTTAACATTTTTTTTAAATTCACTCATGATTTTAATTTATAATGCATAAAAAACAAATTACTTGAAAATGATTTTCAGATGTCGTTCTTGTGTTAGATAAACAAGTAACTATTGTTGAATTTGGTTTTAATTGGTCATTATTGGGCAACTTATCATTTGCATAGTTAGAAATAATTGAACTTGAATGATGGACATTCCACCTAAATATAATTTATTATTAGTTACAAAAATTGAAAGTTAAAAATATGCTATTGGCTCATTTTTAAATTTACTTTGGTGGTGGTAATGAATTTCGGTCTATAGGTGTTAGTCCATCTGTAAGTGGATGTTTTTCAATTAATACATTCCACAAATTATCTATCCATGGATCAATAACAGCAAATGCTCCAATATCATGTTGGTCATCAGCTAACCCGATATTACATAATGGTTTTCCTCCTAATTGTAAAAGCCTTCTGTACAGTTTCTTAGCAACATGATTGAATTTTACATATGAGCTATCTCCCAAGCCCAAAACAGCAAACCTACAGTATTTGTAAAATTATAATAAATATAATATAATATTAAATTGCTTATAAAATAATAATTAAATTAACACATTAACTATATCCAAATATCAGTTGACGTTTTATAAACAATATGTATTATAGGAGGCTGGAATAAATTCTCTTAAGAGGATGCTGACACAGGTACTGTGTTATGATAAGTGTGGCCATGATCTAATTTTAATATGAAGTTATGATTTAAATACTATTATGTTAAATCATAACACAAGTTAATTTATAGTCTTTTTATTAAGTCTATTTTAATACTGGTATTACAGCCAAAAAGAACACTTGACAGGTGACATATATGGTAAAAAAATATGATCACACAGTTGGACTTTTTGACGATGATCATGATTCGGCATTAGATAGTGTAGGTGTCTGAATTAAAATTTGGAAGCTAGTTACAATTGAATTCAGATTTTAAAAAAAATAATAAAAAATGTTTACCATAACTTAATTCATAATTAATATATATATGTATATAGAAAAATAAAAATAATAAGCATCTGAGATGCTTAAAAAATAATCTTATCTTTAAGTTGTATAATAAATTAATTTATTCTAATTTTAAAAACAATAGAATAAAATAGAACATTGTAAAAAAAAATTATCATATATGTTTGCAAGACAAAGAAAATAAAAGTATATGTGGTATCCTCTTAAGACATTAGATCTATTATATTATTATGTCATTAAAATAAGTAATCAATTTTCTTAAAACATTAGATGTATTAGGCTCAGACTGGGAGGATACCAGCCTACTATCACAGTAAGGCAGCCCATAGATACAATATAAAAAAAAAACCTTTTTTGTTTTTGCTCATCAATTGTTTAAAAAAACTCAAATAGTTTATTACAAAGTTGAGGCATATGGCCTACTGTGCTGTAAAACAGCAGCACAGTGGCCTAGTGCAGGCCTAATCATTCAGACATTTTACTACCAATTGTAAGTGAATACTTTTATAGATTATGATTTCATAAAAAATATGTAAAATCATATAAATTCCGACCTCAATATATTTTCAGTGAATTAATTCTCATTCAATGTATTCTGCTTGCTTACTGAATTAAATTTTTAACTGTAGTCATAGAGTAATATTTTTGAATACATATACAAAATTAGCATAATTATTGGAGATAAACTATACTATACTTAAAAAAGAAGTGTGCATTTAACATGTTAACTTTAATTCTCTATAACAGAAAGGTTTCCTTACTCAACATTAGCTAAGGAATTAGAAGGTAAATTTTTTCTTAATAGAAATTTCCAAGTCTTTTTCATATTATCTGGTTGATCACCTTGTCCAGTAGTTGAACAAACAAAAATAATTTTTTTTTCAAAAATTAATTTGTCAATGGGATAGTCATCAATTGCAATAACAGGTCCACTATAATGCAACCTAAACAGAAAACAAAATATAAAATTTAATTTAAAAAAATTAAATAATATATAGGTAGGTGGATATCAAAAGTAAAATAAGTCAATAAAAACAATACCATGTAAAAAGGAAAAATGAAAGTTATTAGCTAATTTATAAAATTTAAAAAGGTTTATCATATATATAAAAACTATGCAAGTTATTACAACTCAAAAAGAAAAAGAAATAAAGAATATAGTTTATTTTAGGCTTTTTTAAAATTATTTAAATAAGTAAAAATCTTAGGTACTACTTTAATTTCCCCTCTAAATTTGAATAAATAAAATGCTTAAATACCATTTTGATTCCCTCCAAATCCTTTCAGCAACTTCCTGAGCACATCCAGTTTGACTACCGTACAATATGAGAAGTCGACGATCGTTGTTCATTATGTATAATGTTTATAGACTTATAGTAGGTAACGATACTGTGTATTTTTACTAACTTCAAGAACAATAAACTACTTAAATATCAAATAATACTATAGTAGAAATGTAAAATTGTTGAAAACTTATGTACCTAGTACCTACCAATCAACATAATAAAATTCAAAATAAATAAATAATAATGAGCATTAACTACAATCACGGGACTCATGATTCATGCCGCATTATAGGGTTATTAGTTATTACTTATTATTATTTTCATTCTTTCATAAAAATATAACAGTATTATTCTTTGATAATACAGACCTTATCTACAGCTGTTACCCTCTAATAAGCTGTACATACGGTACAATAACAGCGGGCAAAAATATGATGATTATTAAAGTCTGTGATTTCATTGGACGTTGCGATCACTGATTCTTTTTCTTTGATACTGCAAACTATAATTTCTAGGTCCGAACTCCGAGGGTGTATGTTCTTTTTACTCTTCGAAATTGTAGTAAATAATTTTCCTACAATTTTCGTATTTTTGTTTAAGCTGTAAGTAATTTACTTTATCAAAATGTCAATTCTTAAAAATGGAATGAAACTACTGATGAGTAGAGTAAGTACATTTATGCGTAAATTATAATAAGTAATAATGGTAATATATATTTATTTTTTAGTTGTGTATTGTATTTTTATTACCAATAGTTTTCCAATATAAATTATTTTAAAATGTATTATTTTTTATGTATGTATATTTTTTGTACAGTCAGCTCAAAATGCATTGGGAAATAAATGCCTTCACACTCCGTCATCATTGGTACAGTTAATCTCTATTATTTGAATAACTAAAACTTTTATTAAATTATTTTATATTTATTTCTAGGACGCCGCTAAAACTGTTAACATTAAGTCACCAATTGCTAGGGCATATGCTTCTGGTGAACCAAATGAAGTAAATTAATAAATTGTTTATCTGTATTTTAATTATTTTAACATGCATTATTTATTTTACAGGATAAATTTTCCAACATACCAGCTGAACGAATTACATGCACATTAATTCCTGGTGATGGAGTCTATCCTGAGTTAATGAACTCTGTCCAAACTGTACTGAAAGCAATTGGAGCTCCTATTGATTTTGAAACCATATTATTTTCAGAAGTACAACATTCTAGCAGTGCTCAAGTTGAAGATGTTATCAAATCAATCAATCGCAACAGAATTTGTTTGATGGTAATTAACATGCTGTCATTAGTTTTTTTTTTTTTTTTGAAGTAGTTATAATGTTATACAAATTAAATTTATTATATAGGGCGCACTAATGAGTCCTGATGTTAGCTATTCTGGAGAACTTCAAAATTTACATATGAAACTCAGGAAAGGTTTAGATTTATATTCTAATGTTGTTCATGTAGTTTCATGGCCGGGAGTTGCTTCTAGACATAAAAATATAGACATGGTAATTATTCGTGAACTTACAGAAGGAGAATATTCAGCCCTTGAACATGAATCAGTTGATGTAAGTCATACATTTTTTTTCATTAATGATTTATGTATTAATTATTTATTATTTTTAGGGTGTAGTGGAGTGCTTAAAAATTGTTACTGCCTCAAAATCTCAAAGAATAGCAAAATTTGCTTTTGATTATGCCATTAGAAATAATCGTGAACGTGTTACATGTGTTCACAAAGCTAACATTATGAAACTTGGAGATGGTTTGTTTTTAAAAAGTTGTTCAGAGGTGAGTTGGTAACTGATCAAATATAAAAATTATTTGAATATTATAAAATAAAAAATAATACATTTTTTTAAATTAAGTATTGTTTTGTTAACTGTATTTTCTTGTTTTAAGATCAAACAACTATATCCCAGTGTCAACTTTGAAGCTATGATTGTTGATAACTGTACTATGCAAATGGTATCCAATCCTCAACAGTTTGATATTCTAGTCATGCCTAATTTATATGGAAACATATTAGATAACTTGGCAGCCGGTTTAGTAGGTGGAGCAGGTGTTGTTGCTAGCTCATCTTTCAGTCCTGAATGTGCTGTGTTTGAACCAGTAAATATCATGTTTAATTAATTAATGAATTTTTATTAACTTTTAATAATTATCTAAGGGTGCAAGACATGTATTCCAAACTGCTGTTGGTAAAAATATTGCTAATCCGACTGCAATGTTGATGTGTGCATCTAAAATGTTAAGACATGTTAATCTACAACATTACAGTGAATCCATACGAACTGCAATTAGAGAAGTGCTTGCTGCTGGAAAAGTGAGTTGAACATTGTATTCATAGTTTTAATTTAAAATATAGCTTAGTGTTATATTTAAGTATTGAATTAATTATATAAGTTGTGATTTTATTTTCATTTTAATTGGAAAGTTTAAAAACAATTTTAACAATTTTTTAGGTAAGAACGAGGGATTTAGGTGGTTCAAGCAGCACTCATGAATTTACAGATGCAGTTATAAAAGCTATTGTTTAAATTATTATTATTACCTTATTTTTTCGAGTTAAACATAAAATTTTCTTGTAATAATAATTTGATTTCTCATTTTAGCTAAATTGTATCAGTTATGCACAGTATTATTGAAATAATAGATTACATATTAAAAAAAAAAAAATGTATTGTTAATCTAGATAACAGTTTTATCAAAAACTCAAGTACTTCCTTTAATATAGTAATTTATTAAAGTTGTTATTTAAAACCATATTTATACAAAAAAAAAAAAAAAAAAAATTAATACAATTAACACATTTTAAATATTATTTTTTAAAATTGTTTATCAATCATTGAAAATATATTTAAAAATTTTTTTTTTTTTTTTTTATTAAAAAAGAAAATTTACAATCTGTACACAATAATTACAATAAGCAAATTAGATAAAATATTTAAAAATTACACTATAATTTAGTGTTTTTAAAACTTTTAAAACAAATGTTAAAAAAAATGTTCAGTTAATAATTGTACTTAAAATTATTTAAATTAAAATATAGTATACAATTAAATTTAATTGTATTGAAACCTAATTGCTTAACTTTAAGAATAATTTCTTTTAAATAAACAAATAATAAATCACATTTTATTACACTTTGTAATTATTAGCATTAGTTTATTATTTGTTTTTATTATAAGAATTGATCAGCAAAATACCAATTATACTTAATTGTAATAAATTATTTAATAGATTGTTATGATGTATACAGATTGATGTATTTTAGTACCTATTTAATAAAATCTTATTTAACTATCACTTTTAAAAGTTTTCATTATTCAACTACTATTATAATTCTTTGAAAATAAATAAAATACAAATTTTTTACCCCTTTCTATAAAAAGGTAAGGTGTAATGTGTAAGGCATACACATTTAGAAAAACTAAACGTACGCTCTTCATAAGTGCAATAAAGGCCTATTTCCAAATATTTTTAAACTATTTCAAATATTTTCAACATTGCCTGTTACATCATGTTAATCTGAAAAAAAGTTTTTCTACATTTAAACGAATAAAAATATAACTTAGAAATCAATTGGCCAGTTAAAACCTAATGGATTAACATTGTTAAATATTCATAATTAATTTGAAGTAACAGAAGAAGAAGTAATATAAAAATTGTCATTCAATCAAAAATGACGAACGGCTTTTATTTTGTAATCAATTATTTTTTTTTTTATTATTATCTATTGACTATATTATACTAAATAATGTATACCTACATGGCTACATATTAATTACCTAATTAAAATCAAAGTTATAGTTTGTACGTATTATAAATAATATTTAATGTTTATAATTTACACCCCCTTTAAGAAAATCCTAGCTACACTACTATAGGAATATATCTTATATCTAATAGTTATGACTGTTATCTGTTATGAGAAAACAAGAATAATGATTATTATGATTTATGATAATGATGACTGAATTACAATATAAGTAATATTACGTATCCACGTAGGTCCTAGGTAGGTACTTAGTGACTACCTACTTACAATTATCGAGGAAACAAAAAATAAGTTTAATCAGTATAGTGTTGAATTGCTTGTATTCAAAAATTGTTTTGTAGAATTTCTAAAAACTACAGGTTTTTTTTTCATTTTCACAAAATAAAAAAAAACCTTAGCTTCAGAACTATAAGAATCTTACCACGATGCGGATGAAGATGAACTAAGTACCTGCGATTATTATCAGGGATGGATATGAGAATTTTTTAATTGAGGACACATTTTTTGAACATTTATGTGGATCAATTACATAGGTCTTCCGATTGTTCGTCAAACTTTTAATTTCATTAAAAAAAAAAAAAACTACTACAGTATTTATATGTTATGTTTTTGAATCAGATGTACTAACTTTTCGGTTAATTGTACCTATTGTGTTTCGATCTGACAAATACAAATAAAAACGGTGAGTTTATTATTCGCTCAGGTACTCCACGTTCTAACGTCACTATAATATTAAACACAACACAGCTGGTCCACTGGCATAGTTCGGCGAAGAATTTTAGGCGTAACGTTTGGGAAATTGACATATTTTTTATACTCTTTCGATAAATTATTAAAAACTATTAAATGAAATAAAACAAACATAAAAAAAAAATCTGAAGTTATTTATTCTTTATTAACTTAATAACATAACTAAAAGAAACTAAATACTATTATAAATTTCTAAATGTCCATGGTTTGCATTTATATACTTCTTAATCTAACTACTCGTCTATGACGATACGGAACAATCATAACGATATTGAGGCAGTTGATTTTACCAAATCAGATTTTTGGGATTTAATATTTTGATGGGGCTTAGAGCAAGCGGTCTCCTCTAAAATACTCCACTGTCTGTAACCCAAAAGATTGAGGTCTGGACTTCCTGAGGGCTCATCTTCAGCGACCATGAATCCAATTCAGAAATATTAAATGGCGTTACTGGTAAAAATTTACTTTGATGGCCGATGAAAATACAAATTTTGATATACGTACCTACCTAACTTATGTGGTATTGTATACTAAATTTTTAAGAATTTTGACTCAGGTGAATAATTATTTTTTATTGACAATTATTATTTATTACCTATAGAAAAAAATTAATTTATCATGCCTAGTAGAAAAAAAAATATAATATTGTTCTAAACAGCTCTGGGAGAGTTATTTAGTTATTCTTGAATTCAGTTATTCATTCTCGAGTTACACTAAAAATAACAAAATCGATTTTGTCAACAATTTTAGTAACCTACATAAAAATTCCAATTCTTCCTTAATTGTATTCTGATTTTTTTCTGTTAATAGAAAAAATAACTTGGAATTTTTAATTTTGACCTTAAACTAAATCCAACTTGGTATTCAAAACTATCCTCAAAGTAGATAATTTAAGCAATTTATCAACTACTTTTGTGTACAGTGTACACATATATTAAAAAAAAAAAACATCATTGAAAAATCAATATATTTATTAATTCGCTTTAAATCCAAAAAACTACATTTTAAAGAAAAAAAATGTACAATTACACTCTAAATTTATTTTTACTTATCAAAAGTCAATACCTATATACGTATTTTATAAATACAAAACATCTTTAATTTTATTGTACTTTTTGTTGCCTATCCTATCACTTTTAAAAAAATTAAAAAATTGTTATTTTAAATACTTATTATGATATTTATAATATTAAAAGTCATTATTTATTTAGAATTAAATCAATATTTTGTTAAAAATTTATTTATACTTTATTGCTTCAACTGGGTAAAATTAAAATAGAATTATTTGTACGTCTTTAGACTTTGATACAATATTTATGTGAAAAATACAATGTTCAGATCGTAATATAATTATTGGTCAATTGTATATAAACATCTATCAGATTTTGCTCTTAATTTTTTTTTTTTTGAAAATTATGCATTCGAAATCTACTTCCTGGATTGAGTAACCCAAGGTTCCTCTTTACATATTAACCCTTTTGTTTTATTTTATTACATACATTTATGTACTTTACACTCTGCACAATGTTATCAATAGTTTTTTTTTTGCAATAACTGATAATAACATTTAAGTACCTATTTAATATACTAAACAAATTCAAAAACATAAAATTTTAGCGATGTATTTTAATTTTTTAGCAAATATTTTTATTAACTTTTGAAATTTTTATTCCTACTTTTTCTGTTAAAATAATGATTGAAACGAAACTCATAATTCTTAGGTACTAGGTAGTTTTACAAGTCACACAATAATGCCTCATATGCAACACATTGATGAGTTGATCAGGGAATATTTTTTATTTCGAGGATTTACAAACGCATTAAAATGGTTTGATTTCGATGTGAAAATCGATAAAGATAAAGGATTTAGAGTAAGTGGTATATTTTAAAATACCAATTTGATATTTCTCAATAGTAATTTTGCTGCTCATGAGATTATGTGTTTAGTAAAATGATACATTATAAATATTTTAAAGGTGTTATTCTATCCTAAGCAATAATAATTAAAATGATAATTAATTTTTTTTTTTAAAGGTGGATAAACTAGTTGAACAAATATTGCAATTAGTATACTCCTATGATTTGTCTACAATTAGAGAACTTTGGTCACATTTTGAAAATAAATTATTTTCAAAACTAGATCAAGACATATCGTTTGGTTTGTAGTTTATTTAGATTATATTTAGTTTTTTAATACAGTTGTATTTAAATGTATTGTTATTTACAGCTGTAAAAAAGTTGGAGAATAGTTTGCTTAAATTTTACCTTGTACATGCATTAACCAACAACCGTTCAGATAAAGTAAACGAGTTTCTAATTAAAATGACTCATGATCTACAACTACAAAATGAATGGAAAGATTGGTTTAGTAAGTTCATTTTTTTTTATTTAGCTATACAATTAATGTTTTTATATTAATAATTAATATTATATATGTTAGTGTTGCCATATTTGAAAAATATTGAAGATAACCCATTGTTTGCTATTTACTTCACCAAGCAGTGGCAAGATTCTTTTTTTATTTCTTTACATAACTTTCTCTCCATTGTCTATCAAGTAAGTAAATATAATTGACTACAAGCTTCTATTTATGTAAAGAAAAACAATCACTCAAATTTATTAACATTTTGAATAATGCGGTAGATAATATTAAATTGAATATTCTATTACTTTATTGATTGACTTAAATTATACTATTCTGCTATAGTGTTTTCCTATGAAACTAAGAAGGTGTATAATAGTTCTATTGTCTAATAAATATTTAGTATATTGTATAAATTATTTGTATTTTGTTTATACTTAATTGTAATCCTAAGAATGTAATTTAATCTATAATTCAAATTTTTAGTTAACACTATCTTATATTACTGATAATCAACCAATTTATTATGTATCCAAAATATAACATAATTACATAAATAATAACTAATTAATTTTTTTTTTACTTAGATTATTCCACGACCTAGTCTGTGCAATTATGAAGATGACGCAAATAAAATTCGCAGACTTCAAGATGAAATTGATACTCTTAAACAAAAACTTACTGATGGAGTTACTCAACCTAAATACAACACAGTCAGTGGATCATTTCATTCTCAACCGCTAGATATAATTGATGATTTCTACACAGTGTCTCAGTAATAAAGTTATAATACACTTGGTTAGTTATATTATTTATTAAATTACTATTATTTTATAGAGAAACATTAAAGAATACTAACACTGATACATCCATGAAATCCTTGAGATCACTTATCAGAACTATCGGTGGATTACCTACAAGTCCAATACTCGGTAAACAAGTTAACATGAAGCGTATATCTCAACCAATTCCTACTTCTACTGCTACTTCTACTATTATTCCTGGTGATTGAATTAAGACATATAAAATTAACAATCTGGATGTTATTGAATAATAATAAATTGATTTTAGATATTGGTTATAAGAAACATGTAGGAACCAATTCAAAACTCAGTACAAGCTTATCAACTTCTCCCTCGTCTTACATAATGATTAAGCCTGGTAATACTAGGTGAGGATATATAGTTGTGAAAAAATCATTTAGATAATAATCAATTTTAAATATGATACTTTGATAAAATCTTAAAAACTGTGTAAATATGTTTTTACAAGTAATTATAAAAATTGAATTATTCATTACATAGTGAAAGTAGCCGTAGAACTGTATCAAAGCGATCAATATCTTTAGAACGCGATTCCACTAGAAGTAGAGGTCCTCGAGATGCCAGTTTAGACAATTTAGACAAAAGACAACACAAAGTTCCTCCATTCCTTTTGCTAAGCCAGGTAAGTTAAAATTTAAAAAATTGATATTTTTAGCTTTGTGTACATATCAAACAATTTCAAATTATTCACAGGAATCCTTTAATGAACATAAAACAAAGATTACTCAATGTTGGTTTAACATGTCTGGTTCACTTATATCTAGTACAGATGCTGATGGTTTTTTGAAAATTTGGTCAGCTGCCCCATCACCAAAGTAATTTAACTTATTTAATATACTAACCAATTTTAATTTAATAATTTTTATAATATTAATTTATAGAGTAATTGGATCAACTAACTTGAAAAAAGTTGTATACAGCTTGGATTGGTTCAAAACTAATGATCGTTATACATTATTAGGGTGTGATGATTGTTCAATAATACTATATGATGCTAAAGAAATGAAAAGCTCTTGGGAACTAAATCCATTTAAACAATCAACAAATTTGAAAATACAATGTGTTAAATGTGGTCCTTCTGATTCTACATTTGTATGTTCGCTCATTTCTAAAGACAACAATAAATTACTTTTATATGACGTCAAAACTAAAAAAATTGAAGTACGTTTTGTGTATTTAGTATTTTTATTAATTATTTTGAGATATATTTAGTGTTTAATAAGTAAGGTCTATTGACTATTTCTATAGAGACAACTCATACTGGGAAACGATGATGTAGCTGTTACATGTTGTGCCTATAATCATAATGGTCAATTGTTGTATGCGGGATGTGCCGATGGATCAGTACGTACTGTTGATCTCAGACATAGTGAAATTGTTGATCGTTGGACCCCACATACCGATCGTTTGATGCGTCTTCAATTATCTCCTGATCATAATGATTGTTACACATTAGGAGCTGATAACAAAGTGATTTATATTATTTGTAATACTACCATTATTTTATTTTTTAAAGTTAATATTATTTTGCCCTTTAGATTTGTCGCACTAGTATGAATGGTAATAAACAGTCATGTGTATGGGAAGTGAATATTAAGAAAGATAATCCACTCCAGCCCAATGCATTTATGAGTCAAGCATTTACATTAGATCAGTCTGGTAGTTATATGCTACTATGCCATAGTCAAAACAATGGCGGAAATATATATAAAGTAATAATTTATATGTATACTTGTCTTATACTTTATATAATGTATTAGTAGATCTTAATTTCTTCTTAGTCTTTCAGCAATATAGTGAATTTTGGTGTGATTGTGTGTATAATATTTTAGGAAAGTCAGTTTATAATTTTACTTATAATTGTCATTTATTTAATAGATAACAAGTACTGGATTAAATGTTGTCTTGTCTCTAAAAGAGCATCAAAGCATTCCAGTTGTTTGTGATTGGTCATCTCTAAATCAATGTGGTACCTGTGTAACTGGTTCAGACGATGGAACTCTATGTATATCTACACTTCTGACTCCATAATTCAAATTTGTACTCATACATTATTATCATTATAAAATTATAATGTGAAACCTATCTCAATATAATTAATTATACTATTTATACGTATAAAAATTAATTTAAAATGTGTATTTATTCATATGCAATATTTACATGTAATTTAAATTTGAACAATTAAAATATAATATCAATAACCATATTTTTCATTTAGACTAGTTCGTCCATCTCCAGTTTGATCAGCTGGTGGTTTCCAAATCATGTTTCCAAAATCTTCCATGACGTCTTTCTCCAAAGTTTTAGCAATTATCTAAACATATGAACGATTAATAATAGATGAAATATTTTGACAGCTATAAGTAACATTACATTTCAAATAATTTCAATAACTTTTTTTTTATTTATATTTTTGTCTTGGGGATGGTTTGGAACAGTAACACTGTGAAAGGATAATTGAAAGATCATCTATGACTTTTATCAAAAAATAGTGGAAGGAAGGTTGGGTAATAGCCAATGAATAAATTTAGTACCAACTATAAATTAAGTATTTATTACTAGAGATAATTAAATCTATAACAAAAATATTTTTATCAAATATTGGGCAAGTATGTTTAGGTTAATCTAGAAATATATAACTCAAGAGAGCTTCATTCTGGATAACTTTATAAAAATACATTTCTAAAGTTATGTAAAACCTGAGAAGTGAAATATTTTTATTAAAACAATTACTAATATGTAAAAATGTAATATGATTGTATAGTATGTGGCATTTAAATATTAATGCTTAGTTATAGTATTTATACACAATAAAAACCATTAACATCTATAACACAAAATCCAACTTTCTGTTTTTAAACTATTGACCAATAATTAAAATAATTTTAATTTTTGGTGATATATCAATACACCATTTAATTTATTTTAATTTGTGCGCTATCATTTATCTAATTATTTAATATTTAATTGTTGGGCAATAGTTATTATAAATAAACTTTATCAATATACCCTTAATTATATATAATAATTAATAAATAGTGTATAAATTTAGAATATCCCTTGTTTTATTTTCAAAATCAACATTGAAAATTTGAGCATTAATTACTATTATTATTTCATATTTAACATTTATCAACAAAATATTGTAAATTATTACAAGCTAATGTTTTTTTTTTTAGATGATAAAAATACCTATCTAAAAATAAATACTTTTTTGCTTTCCAAAAAAAAGCATTTAAAAAAAAATGAATACCCTATATTCCTACTTGGTAAGTATTCCATATCAAATGTGTGAGAACATTTTGATCATTTGATAATATGAAATAAAACATTACAAATTTTAAATTTAAATATTAATAAGATTTTAAAATAATTAAATTTTACATACTTTTTTATCTTTTTTCTCCAACTGTTTTTGTCTCTTCTCGGCTTCTTTCAATTCTTTTAACATTTTCTCTAAAAATAATATTATCAAATACATTTTATTAGAGACTCAAATGTGTGTTAACAATTTATATAAATAATATATAAGAAAAATGTCATTCTATTTGAATGTTGATTACAAAGTGAACACAGTAAACTGTTGATAAATATGGTGTAATTCATTCACTTCTAACTACTAACTATAGCGATTCTTTTATACAATTACGAATGGTTATTATTTATTAATTCAATAATAATACCTTCTGCTTCATTTAAATCACTTTTTTCTTTATTTATGACTTCTAATTTTTTTTCAACATTGGGTTTTGTTTTTGTATCAATATTTTTGACTTCTTCTGGTACTGTTGAAATTATAGGCAAGGAAACATTAATATTTTTTGGATTTACTTTAACCACTTGTTCTACATTAGGTGTGTGTTCTATCTGAGGTTTTGTTAGCTCTGGTAAAGTAGTCGGTCGTACAATATTAATAATTTTTCTCAGTTTTTCTTCTTCTTCTTGTAGTTCATTAATTTTAATCTACAAATACACAAAAAAAAATGTATAATATAAATTATTATACAACTATAAATATAAATATCATACTTTTAATCTTTTGATCTCAATTTTATCAACAGTCTTATAATTTCTAAGATCAGACATAAACGACTCTAAAGAGTCTTCATCATTAGTTTCACCATACTCTTTTGTAACATTTTTATTTAATCTACTTAATTTACTTTTGGTGTGTTTAAGATCAGCAATCAGAAGTTTATGTTTCTCCATCTAAAAATAAATAATAATACAATCTAAATTAAGTATCAATTTTAAAGCGTTATTATTATTAATTTAATTTAATAATATAATTAACATACCAATGTTTCATAAGTATCGACAGTTTCTGCAGTTTTACCAAATTTTTTCATTCTTTTTTTGCGCTTTGCATCAATATCTCCTGTACGATCTAAGAAATTATCATCATCACTGTCATAAAAGTCTTCCTCTTCCCAATTTTTTTCTTTGCGTTTTCTACTTTCTAAAATAAAAAAAAAAAAACAATTATAAAATTTAAAAATATATATTTTTAAAACAAAATATATTTACCATGTGTAGATTGCCTTAAGAGTCCATACATATCTAAAATTTTACATGCTTCCAATGCACAATGTGTAATTGCTTCTTTTTTTTTACCACTTATTGTAGCTTCAGCAATTTGTGGTCTTCCTGTAATGTTTGCTATTGGTAATCTAAAATAGATTTGTTACAAAATATTTAAAAAAAAAAAATGATTATAAATACTATTTCTTACTCTATACGACATGAAAATGTTCCAAATCCTTTTTCTGATACATCATACTCCAATTCTTGTCCTTCTCTTTCAAACCAACCTTTCAATGTTTTTTTAGGATCATCCAAATATAATTGCTCATTTTCTTTAGGAGCAAAAGGATTTTCTTTAGTATCTTCTTCTTCATTCGCATCTTCTCCTAAAATATAAATAAAATATTATATTAAAATAAGTAATTAAACTATTTCAATATTTTTAACCAAATATAAAAAAAAAACACTAAAACAAAGTATTAACAATAATAATTATTGATGAAAACATCTAAAGTTTGAAAGAAAAGAAATATATTTTATTTATAATAAGTATTATCAATGTTTATATGATACGAACCCATTCCCCAATCAACACCCTGTTCCATTTTTTTTCTCTCTTCTTCTTCCCTTTTTAGTCTTTGTAACTCTTGTTCTCTTTCTCTTTGTTCAAGTTCTGCTTGTCGTTTAGCTTTTAATTCAGTAACAGTTAATTCAGATTCCTTTTCTTCGTCATCTGGTGGGCCTTGTAACAAATACATTCTAGTACTACCACCAAAACTAATTAAATGACCAACCTAAAAATTACATAATTGAAAAGTAAAAATGTATTCTATAGTAAACATTAAGCCTGTGTAGTATTAGTAAATATAATGTATGTTTATATAAATTTTAAGACTTACATGAACTTTTACATAAGTTTTAGGTTTAATTCTTAAACGATTTAAGAATGTTCCATGTGTACTGTCCAAGTCATATAAATAAAATCCCCTATTTTCATCACTGGTAGAAAAAGTTGAACGATATTGTAGAACTGCATGAAAACGTGATATTGTTGGATGTGCCATTGTAACATGACAATTATTTAAACGTCCAAAGCAATGAAATGATCGACTTTCTAATTTTATTGTACTTAACATTACACCAGATTTTAATTCCTGAATTAAAATTAAATATTTAACAACAATAAAAACCTTAAGCAAAATTCTAAATGTTAAATTATTAATTCTCAAACCTCTAAAAAATATTTATCATCAGGTTTCCCACCCCAAGATGGTTCTTCGTATGGAATAGGAATTTGAGAAGTTGTCTTGGGAGCTTTCTTCGGTTGATCTATATTTTGTTCAACACCAACATTGGTATTTACTGCCACGTTTGTTGGTGATGTTACATCGCTGTCATTACTGATGGTTTTTTCACATATTACCGGTTTTTTGGAGCCAGGTCTAGGGCCGAATAATTTTGGCACCTTGAACACAGGCCCTTCTTTTTCGTTGTCCATGGTAAATACGTTTACTTGAGGTGTATGTGTGATAGCCTGAAGATATAGGTTTATTTATGTATAAAGAGGAATTTAATATTAATTATCAACTGGTTACAAATATATTATGTCTTAGTTTGTGAGACCCATAAATTGAACAGAACGAGTGAACGACAATGATGAATGGATGATTATTATGAATATGAGTTAAGTTATTTTAAGTAACACTTATTATTAAGTGTAAAATATCTTAATTTATGTTGTGTTGTAAACAGAACTTACAGAACGTTTTTAAAATTTTTTGTTATCTATTATCAGTTCTCATGAGTCAACAATACTGTTAAAGATATACAGGTGTATCTGAAATTCTGAAACCGTGGTCAACAAAAACTTATTTTTTTAATAATGATGTTATCTAATAATCCAATGTTTTTTATACGCATAGATCTTTATAGTTTATACTTTTATCATTAGACAAAAATACAAAATATTTCTATGAGGACTTAGTCGCTTAGACCGCTTAGCCTTAAAGTAATAAGGCTATATACTGATATCCGTTATTCAGTTTTATCAATTTTCAGTTTGTGTTCAGTGCCGTACTGCCGTTTACTCATTAGGTTTGAAACGTGGGAAGAAATATGACATAAATATCACCAGAATACAAGATATATTTGATTAATTGCGAAAAAAAGTAAGAAAAAATATAAATATGTCAATTGAGTTTAAAAAACGTAAAGTTGTTCAAAACCGACGTAAACGAACCACATCTGATAGTGAAAACAGTGACGATGAAAGTGCTGTTGTTCTTAATGAAAAACGTCATAGAAAATTAAATCCGTTTATACAAAGTACATCAAACAAAAAGCTTAAAGCATCTGAATTAATACACGATTCTTCAGAGAGTGATAATGAAGCTGTCGGTGTTTCATATCGTTCCAAAATGGACACCGACATGAGTGGACCTAAAGATATGGGCGCAACAGCAACAATTGAAATTGACACTGAACTTGACAAAGATGCTCAAGCTATCTATGAACGCTCTTTACAAGTAAATAAAGAACTTAAAGGTAAAGAAGATGACAAGGTTTATAGAGGTTTAGCGAATTATACTCAATATTATGAGAAAAAAGACACAGCTTTAGGTAATGCGTCTAGTGGAATGGTACGCAAAGGACCTATAAGAGCACCAGCAAATTTACGTTCTACCGTTCGTTGGGATTATCAACCTGATATTTGTAAAGATTATAAAGAAACTGGTTTTTGTGGTTTTGGCGACAGTTGTAAATTTTTACACGATCGTTCAGACTATAAATTTGGGTGGCAATTAGAAATGGAATCTTCTCAACAATGTGATTCAGATGATGATGATCCATCAAAGTATGAAATTAAAGAAAATGATGATGATTTCCTGCCCTTTAAATGTTTGATTTGTCGAGGATCTTATGTTAATCCTGTAATGACAAAATGTAAACATTATTTCTGTGAAAAGTGTGCTTTAGCTCATTTTAAAAAGAGTACTAAATGTTTTGTCTGTGAAAAACAAACTGGAGGATTTTTTGATCCTGCTACAGCTATTATCGAAAGACTTAATAAAGCTAATACAGACATAATACACCAATGTAATTCAGATGAAGAATCGGATTGATTAGTATATTATTAATGTACGTATAACTAACTATTAATAATATAAATGTTTTAAAAAAATATGTTTAGTTAAGTAATTTTAACTATAGATTTTTTTTTTTTTTTAAATCTTTAAAAATGATTAATAACAATTTTGTTAATAACAAAAATTCTCGGTCCTCTAGTTTTTGCAATACAAAAGTAAAAGATAATTTTTTTATTTTAGATCTGTAAATTATCTGGAGTTTAATATGAGAGCTGTAGATGATCTATATCAATCACCATAGACTAAAAGACAATCCCCTAATTCAAACAAAATATATTCTAATTTGTTAATTTTATGTACCAAAGTATTATTAAGTACTAGAACATTATGAAAAATATCTTTGTAATTATATTGATAATTAAATAAACTATTATTTTGGCATATTATTACAATTTTTTTTAAATCAATATTCAATATAAGATATTCTTAAAACATTACAATCTTTTTTTTTTTTTTTTTAATATAGAAGTTCATTTAGTGATAAATTTTATTGACCGAGTATTTAAAAGATTAATCTCTCATTGTAGTTGTATTGTCATGAATCTAGAGTCGGTCTAGAAAAAAATTTCTGGTATGAAATGATGTACTCCTAGGTTACATTTTTTCCAAAATATTCAATTTATGTATAAAGTCTTACTTCTAATAAGTAATTTGGTATATTTAAGTGATTAATTTATAATAATTTAAGATTAACATTTCTGAAATTAATACATCAATACATACATTTTACACAAATCAATTTATTAGGTTAAATCTAATAATTTTCTAGCTCACAGGAAATTTATCTATATCTTAGTTAGTAAGACGTCTCTAAATGGGCCATAATATATTATAGACATATTTTTTTTACTTAATTTCAAAATACTAATAAATATCAAAATTAAATATTTCAATTTATTTTACATTTATACAAAGCTAAAAAAAAGTACATAAGTTATCTATCTTATAATTTAATAGATGTCATTGTAAAGTTAATGATATTTATTTGTGTTTATTTTTTATATACATGGTTATTAATAATAACTAAATTATATACTGTAGAATCTTGATTAGCTATTTGTGTGCATTATGCAATGGAGTCAAGGAGATGACAACTGAATTAAACAAATAAAATAAATAAATATTTTTATATAGCTATTTTATTAACATATTAATAATTTTAAAATTTAGTTATTTTAGTTTGTTTATAAGAATTTTAAACTTTTTTTTATTTATTTGTCATTTATATTTTCAAAACTATAATATTCTTTTAATAATGTATTGAACTTTAGACATTGGGTGACGTATAACAGAAGTTGACATATAATCAAGATTTTACTATGTTTTAATGTTATACAAACTACTAAAATAAAACATTTCAAAAAAATCAAAATGTTTTGTATAAATACTAAAACAATATTATATTTTTAGTTCTACTTTAAGTAAAAATCAAAATATACTATGGCTTATGATAATATATTGATTGATACAATTAATTATTCTTTATTCTTAAATAATTATATTATCAATAGCTTAAAAACTAATAGTAATATATGAAATACAATTTAGGGACATTCAACAAAAATTAACATTTTATAAATAACGTCCTGTATTTTTGTTTTTGAATAAGCGAATTATTAAAACAAATACTGTTTTAAATAATTAAAAAAATTAATTTTGGCGGCTAATGAAGAATATAATAATATGTTGATCGTTGTTATATAGTGCGCAATGAGCATCATGATCATTTATTTTACAAATATAATATTTCTATTCCATGATATTGATAAAAACCATTTGTTATCTTAAATGATTTTTTTTTCCTATTGTTTCACAATCCATAGCTCATTGGCCTCCTGCCCTCATTGTCCATTGTCTTGGCGGCTGGCGTTGATAAAAAATTGTTTTTACTACGTCGTTTCTGACGTTTCTGTTGTCATTTTGAGTTTGACGATTTGTGGAAGCTCAAAAACTGTGAATCTTACAACACTAAGCGATAACTAGACAACTTGACTTCTCAACAGTATTGTGAGTTCGTACGTTTCCATCTCGAGGTGGTATTCAATCTGTTCCGAGTAATGAAAGATCGGCAAACCACACCAGGAGATGGTATTAGATCTCTAAAAACTTCCCGAGTGTTTCGGATCATCAACTTTGAACTCTACTCAAAACCGGTAATATAATATATCATAAATTATCAATTTTTTTGATATTATTTAAAAATTAAATTTATGTAGGTTTGGTGAAACTCCATTACTGATGTAAAATAATAAATAATATTAATTGTTATTTATTTTTGTTTTGAAGTTTTTTAACGAGTCTAATGATTTTTCATGACAACATTGACAACCAAATCCTGTTTTAATATGACATTGTCATTATTCAGGTTGTTCCAAAAATTTGGGAGATTAGACTTTAATGAGATTAATTGCATTTACATAAAAAATTTCAAGTGTCTTCAAACAAATTATTATTTTTTCCTTATAATTATTTATTATAATTCAAAGTTAGATATATCCTATGTAAAGATTTTGGTAGGTCATTTTTTTCAAGTATTTATCTATCCTATTTAATTTAAAATATGTTTAATAAATTGAATAAAAACATATGTTACTTATTAAGTTTTAGTTTAATATGATTGTAATTTTTTCAGAATAAAGTGATCATGGCATTAGGGCTTGTATCAATATCATTCACATTTGGATATCTGGTATATATGAGACACCAATATGAAAAAATGGGATATTACCCAGCAGTTGCTGAAGATGGCCGTCATGAAATTTATAAACCAAGACAATCTAAATGGGATTGAAATTATATTATTTTAGTATTACAACCTTTTAGCACTACTTCATACACCCATTGTCAGTCTACTTAAAAATGGAATCTTGCCAAGCTGTTGAGGCTGATATTGACAAATTAATTGCCAAATATAATAAATATGGTCCAAAATGGCAATTCCAATTACACAGATTTATTTCAACTTTAGAACGGTACAAACGAGAAATTGAAAGTCAAAGTTCTGAAATAGACAAATGTGGACTTTCTTCAACAATTTTACAAATGAAACTTGCCATTAAAGATATTTCAAATGAACATAGAAGATGGCATAGTGATGTTTCAAGAGTAGGCAAAACTATAGACAAAAATTTTATTTCTGACTATACAGAAGCCAGTAATAAAAAAGCATTTAAAACCGATAATGAAAAAGAAATACTAAACAAAATAATTTGTATGCATTTGTACAGGGACTCAAAATGGGAAGTTGCTGAAGAATTTTTAAAAGAAGCTGGTATCACAGTTGACGATAAACAAAAACAACGTTATTTAAATTTGAATCATATTGTTGATAGTTTGAGACAAAAAGATCCTATGCCAGCCTTTGAATGGGTATATCAAAACAAAATTCAACTGGATGCCAAAAAATCAGATCTAGAATTTAAATTGCACCAAATTGTGTTTTTAGATATTCTTAATCGTGGTGATCAGTATGAAGCAGTAGTTTATGCTCGCACAAATTTCAGTCGTTTTATTGACAAACAGAAGGAAATTCAATCCACAATGGGTATGTTATTATATCCACCTAATGTTGCACAAATGCGTACTGAAGTTATTGACCTGTTTATAAAAGATTCTTGTCTAAGTGATGATGATATGTTGAGTGTATGTGTGAATGTGGGTTGCTCAGCTTTACCAGCTTTATTGGATATTAAACAAGCGATTTGTCGAGATGTTGGAGGAGTTTGGAATGAAAATGACGAATTGCCAATCAAAATAGATACTGGTTTTGCGTATCATTCGGTATTTGCTTGTCCAATATTAAGAACAAGAAGTGGAACATCTAATCCGCCTATGATGTTAGTATGTGGCCATGTAATATCAAAAGATGCGCTTAATAAGTTGGAACGATCAGGTAGATTAAAGTGTCCATATTGTCCTAAAGAACAACTTCCATCAGAAGCTAGAACTATAAATTTCTAATTAACTTATTGATGTTTTAAATTTTCTCATCGTATAAATTGTAAATAATTAATAAATTACTTGTATTTAAATTTTTTTTATATTAATTCATATACCTAAGTTATATGTATTAATATACATTGGTTGTAATGTATGCACTTTTTTGAATTCTAACTACATCATGTGTTTTATCATCTGAAGGTTAAATAATTGTATTATAAGAAATCAATTTGGCAGATCTTCATATTAACTATAAGTAATTTTGATGGTGACTATTCTGTTTATATATCTAGTTTTTTATTTAAAATTAAAATTGGCATTTTTTCAAGTTTATATAAGTCCATAAACTATTACAACAAATTTCGGTTCAGAAATTTAAAATAATATACTTTTTAATTTTTTGTAAAAATAATTTGATAAAAATTTCTTTTGTAAATGGTGGTAATATTTTAATTAAACATTAGTTATGTTTAAAGATGGTATGTTTATATTTTAGTCAATTTGTAAGTTAAAATTTTAGAAAGGAATGTTAAATTATGTAAATTTACTTTTATAAATATATTTTAAATAAAACTTATGTTTATGAATTTGTGTATATATTATTTATTTAATTAGTAGATTAATTAAGAGGTTTAAATTTGAAAGCAATAAGCAATGTTATAAGTTATAAGTTGATGAGTAATTTTTATATTTTTATGAATTTGATTATATTTTAATTTTATAAACCATTTATTAAATTCTGTCTTAACTAAAAAGATCAGATATATATTTTTATTTATCTATAAAATAAATATTATTTTAAAAAAAAGGAAAATTTTATATGACTCATTTGGTTTTAAGCCATACATTATCTGAGCTAAGTTTAAAGCATTGAGGTTACATTTATATCAATTAAAACTTTATAATACTAAGATTAAAAAAAAACAGAATACACATTGAATAATAAAATTAATATATTACTTTAAGTCATAAAATATATTCCACATACGTGATACAGAAATGTTGTAAATCAAAACAAGTTAACAGGTAGATTATAATTGTAGCTTTTAAAGTAGGCAGATGGTACTACACAGTGATATTTTATATGTTTTTCCTTAATGTATCATTAATCGCTTTAGCAACATAACTAATATTTGTAGAATTCAGTCCAGTAAGGTTCATGCGGCCATCATCTACCATATAAATATGATAAAGATGTCTCAAATATTCCACTTGACTATCTAAAATTGAACACTTAAGATTAGTATGCATTGTAAGATTATTTATATTAAAAACAATTATTCAATATATATACTTGAAAAGTGTAACATTATAAACATTCCCTTTTGTTCTGTTATAAAGTTCCATTTTCCAGGGGCACCTTCTTCCTCGAGAGCTTTACGAAAAGCTTTTCTTATTTCTATAGCTCGAAGAATCATAGTTTTGAAACTGCTTAACCTTTTAAAACAATGATATTTACATTTTTAATCGTTTAATTTATATAGAATGATGTATAATAATTTACCATTCGTTAAATAATTCTGGATTAGATAATATTTTTAAAATGGTTCTAGCACCATGGTTTGGAGGATTTGAGTAGAAATTTCTAATGATTGTTTTGAAGTGGACCTTAAGACTTTCAACATTACAACCAGATTTTAGTACTACCACCAAGTTACCAACTCGTTCGTCTAAAAAAAAGTTATAATTAATACGTATGTTAAAAGTGTAGTAGTTAAGTTAATAGTCGGTAACTTACTATACATGGTAAACATTTTGGAAAATGATTGTGCGCAGAGAAATTCGAACCCTTTACTATAAAAATAACGAATAGCCCAGGTGTCTTCTTCAAGATCTCCTGATGCTATTCCTTGATACGCCATGTCGAAAAATGGTATCAATTCACGTTCCTAAAGAATTTTAAGATTTTAAGTACTTACCTAAAATTATAACGAATTCTATTAACTTACTTTCATTATTTTAGCGATGGTTTTCCATTGTTCTTTAGTCAGGTCTAAACCAGTTGGATTATGACCACATGCATGCAATAATACGACCGAGTCAATTGGAGCATTACTAATATCCTCACAAAATCCTTCAAAATCAATTGACTTAGTTTCCCTGTTTAAATAACGATATTGAAATTTGTTTTGAAATCCACTATATAAGAACAGTTCTCCGTGCACTTCTGTAAGAAATGAATAAATATAAAACTAAAAATTTGCCAGTAATTATCTAATATTTTCTCTATAAGTTAATATTAAATGGTTTATGTTTAATACTTAATATTATACATTTTTTTTAACTAGCCAATTGTGTCATATGAAAAATAAAATAGGATAGGTATAATATTATAAACATACATATAATATATCTGCCTATACTAAGTAGGTAACCTAAATACATAAGTAAATTACCTTTAGTAAAAATATTTAATCGTTTTATTTATTAAGTTAGTACAAGCACCTAAATAGGTTATACCTACGTTAATCTACTATCTAGAATAGTAATTAAGTACAGTTCAAGTGTTCAATATTAAAATATATCTACTTCCCGTTCCTGTGATCAAAGTGGCTCAAAACAAATGTAGAGATACTTATATTTTTGTACTTTTCTAATATTTTTTTATGGAGTATTATTTTACACATTTACACACATGGGAGGGGGGGGGGTGATTGAAGATGGAAATAAGTTAAGCCCCTGCACCAACTGATAAATCGATAATCTTTGTATATAATTATAGGAACATAGGGCGATGTGTTATTTTGAACAAAATAAGTGGAGGGATGGAAAATGTAAATTACAAAAAGTGAAGGGATGTAATCCCACCGTATCCTTCCCTACTTCGGCCACTGTCTACTTCGTAATTTTTAAACAGTTTTATAACAAGCATCCACCTAATTTATACAAATATATTATTTATTTACTACGAATACATGGGCTGAGTTTTTTTGTACAATTAACAAGTAAAACACTTATCAAAATAATTTTGACTCTAGCTCATCCAAATTAAAATCCAATTTTATTCTTTGTATAACAATAACTGGGATGGATTTAATATGTAAAATAAATAATAATTATATAGGTACCTATGTACTATTATATTAAACATATCACATATATTATTGTGTTTAACGGGTGAACTATTTGTATGAGTTAATGTATGAAAATAATTATTGTAAAGTAGGTAGGTAAAATATGAACATACAGATTACAGATACGATAGTGATATGAATATTACTAATACAATCCAAAACAGATTTCAGTGATTTATAATGAATCTAGAAAAATAACTATGGATAATATTCTATAAACATTTCCACCTAAATATAGACGTATATAGTTAAAGATATTTATTATTCTTATTTTATTTTAAATGACGAGCCTCCGCTCCCGCTTTTACTTTATTATTTATTTTCAAACTTTTATAACGCTTGTGAGGTATATCTTTAATTATTATTAAACCCTAATTACACCCATAATCCCTAACCTTTTGGAGAAAGGTGCAACATAAATAAGCTGTCCATTCGTCCCGGTTTTAACAGCATTTTCCGGTGTCCCGCCTGTCATTAATTTTGTCTCGGTTAAGAAGACTAAACTTAAGACTAAAAAAAAAAATAAAGGTTATTTAATATGATGTCCCGGTATGGTGATTTTAAAATCTGGCAACTTATATATAAACAATGAAGTACATATTTTGGATGATTTTTCTGAGGGGTTAATATACTGCAAAATATGTCGTTAGATTCAATTTAATAATTTTTACTTTAGAAGTTTTGATATAAATATCTTGTTAAGCATGAAGAAAATAATAAAACAGGTTTAAAAAAGATTTTGTTCTATTTAAAAATATAATGCAAATAGTTGGAACTTTGATCATTTTCTCTAATGAACATTTAGGATATTATACTTAATATAATTAACATTTCCAATAACTGTTTTAATTACTTACCCCATGATGGATTAGGAAAATAAACAGTTGAACATTTCATATACCGCGATAAGAATTCAGCACCTATTTTTAAAGCTCCAGTTCCACCAACACATTGAATACCAAATATCTACATAAAATGTAACTTTTAAAATTAGGTATTATTGTAAATATTGATGAATAAAATATAAATATTGAAATTGTTAAATGTATTATCTGGTTGTTTGGTTTATGAAGATTTTGATAATATATTAATATTATTGTACAATAATTACATGGTAATGGCGGTAATGTTACAAATTACAATAATGTTAATATAATGGGTATCTAATAAATAATAATAGTTTACGTCTTTACCGTTCCGTCTTTCCACTGTTTTTCAATATCACCTAACAATAACTTGCTTGCTGATTTTGAAAAACATTCAAGTCCTGTAGTTGGTAAGTAATTGTGAGTCAAAGTATCATTTATAACCATGTTTTCTGCTTTCTTAACAACAGGAAACAAATATGGACTACCATCTTCCGCTCTGAAAGCTATATTAAAATAGGTAATAATTATTTCAATAATAGTATCATTATTAATAAAAAGGTAATAAAAAAAAAAACTCTTAGCCATCAGTGATCGATCTACTTTTCCCTAAAGTTTTCTAAAATATATGTGATTATCATGAAGTATATCTACCTATTAATGAATATGCAATTAAAGCTATAACTAAAATAAAAATACAAAATATTATTAATATAAATAGCTAATGTTATTAGCCCAACAATTATGAAAGAATTAAATTTAAATTGATAGACTAAATAGTCGTATTACACTAGAAACTTAGTTTAATTACATTTATGTCTACATACATACTGCTGTTATCTATTCTCCGCTGTTAAATACTTTTTGTAAAATAAGCTATAAATACACAAACACAGTTTTTTTTTCTAATAATTATCATCATGACATAAATTTCACAAAACGCATGTGTACGAGAATAGTGACAATTGACAAACTTATACACTTTAACTCGAAAATCTAATTTTTCAAGACACCATTTCAAAATTTGAAACTAAAAAATTATTTATTAATAAAATGTTTAATTCTGAACATAATATTATACACGAAAGCTTGAAATATTATTTAAACGTTAAATATATTAAAATATATTTAAATAACATATTTAATATTAATATAAATGCACAATAAATAACCTAACCTATATAATTTTTTAAATTAAATAAAACAATTTAATTTTTTTGAGAAGTGTGCATATTTTTTGTATATAAGCAAATAACGTGATTGATTTATATATTACTTACTTCCATAGATAAGGTCTATTTTTAGAGGAGATATATCTTTTTGAAATGCAGCATTAACTTCTGTATATCCGACCTGTTTCACTAACGGAACACTATTGAATTGAACCATAATAGTTGCTATAGAATAATTAGAATATTAAAATTGACCAAGTATTCACTATATAGGTACCTACTATAATATATTATAAGTACCACCTATATATTATTATAGTGTAATTTAACTTTAAATAATTTAAATTCTGTTTAGTTTAAAATGTATCAATGGCGTTCAGAAACGTTTCGAAAAATTCATAAATTCAGTTGCATCTAATAAATGTTTACAAATCTAAAAATGGCTATTGTAACAACTAGTAGGCACCTATTGAAGAATATCTGTTAAATACGACTATGGTGGTTTATATAGGCAAACCACAATCAATGATCTTATGTGAACCAATGTAGTGCCCATAAGACCATAAATACCTATTCCAACATGGATTTGGAAATTAAATTATTTTATTATTACATCACGTATTCATACTTAGAGCTCATTAATTTCCACACCTGCTTGCTCTTTTTTAATAAGCCATAAATGTGAACGTGGCATGTGATCTGTGTAATCTGTTATTAATGTTGAAGAGAGCGTGATATATGATCCTGGTTGGGCTTGAACTCGGGTTGTCGAAACTCTTTTTTAATTATCCGTTTATAATAATAGGTTAAATAACTTTCAAGTGCCTTCTTAAAATTGATACATATATCATATTCTTACGACTATTATCATTACGTATTGTATTTGTTTATTAAACACCATTATATAATAAAAAATACAAATCAAACTTAATATTGTAAAAGAATAAGACAATTATAAAAATTTGAATTATTTGTTTGATTTTAAATTTTATACTGTTAAATATTTAGGCCTTAATCTGATTAAAAGACTAACCAGGCAAAATCATATTAAAAAAGACGATTAGTCTCAATCAAAACAACTGAGGAACAAGAAGTATTCTACTAATGTTTTTTTTTTTTCTAAATTGAAAACCATAAAAAAATCAAAATTTTTCCAAAATTTTGTTTTTTAGGTGTAACTTAAAAACCAATAACCTTAGATATTTGAAAATGTATAAAATAATTACATTAAAGTTTCCTTCACATAATATATTAACTATTATTATTTATTACATTAAAGTTTTCTTCACATACTATAATAATTATTATTTTGTATTTTCAACTATTTATAGACACTTGGAATTTTCCATTTTTTTTTTTTATAAATACAATAAAAAATTTTTACTGAATGGAAATGTTTGAAATTTTTTAAGGGATTCTTCATAAGTTGTTCATTTATACTAATTTTGAAAATAAAATTATATAGGAAAATACAGTTTTTGTCTGTTTTGATGGGACACTATCACACCGGGTGCACTGTGTACAGTAAGAGTTCAAATAAAAAAACATAAATACATTTTTTGCTCATTACAATGGACATAGCTTGAATTTTGTTCTTGTTAATTATTCTGTTTAGAAACAAAATCAAATAACATTTGATTTTTTTGAAAATGTTAAGTTAATTTATAATTTTATTGAAAGCAGCTACGTTAATACAATGCGTACAATTTTACGTTGAAACTTTAAACATTTTTTTCATATTAAACATTAAACGTATCTACAAATAGCAAATCACACAATCGAATTTCCTTTTTTTGTTTTACCGTATTTCTTCGCATACAATAATATGATATAATATTTGTGTTGATATTCACTCTTACCCGTAATAATATATTTAATGGTATTGATGTCTATGCCTATCTAAGTATAAATGAATAAAGGAGTTCAGACTTTTCTGGTAACAATCGATGTTTAATTTGATATTGAACGGTAATGCATACATAACAATCATAACATGCATAACACATAAGTAATATTTATTTTATCCTACATGTTGTAAATTGCCTGTATAGTTAACAATTATTAATGGGAACAAAGACTAATTTTGGCGATGGTGACGTAGTAAACTGAACATTTTTCAGAAGCAAATAAAAATATACCAAAGACCTATCCATTACTATAGATGAAAAAGTGATGAAAGGAAAGTGTGGCCAACATAAATTGATATAATTAATGTATAACAGGTAATATAATAAAGTATATTTCAGATAAGTATTGAATATTATATTAGATTTATAATAAATAGGTATTATATTAGATATCCACCGACCACTACTCAATCCCCTATTTAAAAAAAATCTGGGAGGCAATTGCCTCTAAAATTATCATTCACCATGCCATTGGATTCAAATATAAAGTATGTATGTGAGACACTGAAACTTGTGTCAATACCAATAACATGACTATCGTTTTGGGAATTACATAAATAAACTTTCTTTTGTTTTTGTTTTTAAGTAATCTTACATCAATAATTAATAAATGTATATTTATTTATTTTATACGCAAGTTCCTATTAAAACCGGTTTGAATACGTTTTTAAAATATTTTTAAACTAAAATTAGATAGATAGATGAAGATTTCAAATAACTACATCCCATTCTAAAACAGAACCCTTTAGATAAAAATATAAAAATATTGAGTACTTTGGATTTTTAAACTCTCAGGTATAATTATCACGGTATTTTTTTTCATGATATAAATATAAATTTTTTTTTTTGGTTAAAAATGTTAGAAACCTAAAAATTTTCTTTAGAAATCTTATAAGAGTTAACTGTTATAAGATAACGTATTATAGGTTAATTTTGAACTAGAAAAAAATTATATATAGAATTCAATAATTTTACTAAGGTAGGCTTGCCAGATTTTTTTTTTTTAGTATGTTAGTATAATTATATCTATATGGAAATAATAAACAGATAACATAATACGATAATCATATAATGATATTATGAACAATATTATTCCATGTTTCGATATTAAATAATATAATGTTAAAGTTATTTTAACTTGGCTTCCATTAACTGGGACAAAATGATGACCGGCCGAGACACCGGGACATGCTGTTAAAACCGGGACGAATGGCAAGCCTATACTAAGGTAAATTTAGTATAAATATGATTTAATAATTTATTTTTAATACATTTAAAGTATTCAATAAAAATATATCTTGTACATAGTTATATAAACAGCTAGTTTGTTTTCGGACAGTTTTATTTAACGAGCAGAGGTAAAAGGGATAAGTACAAAAAATAATGAAGTATAATATACATGATTTGGTTTAATAACTTACACTTACATAGGCCATATTATATTGTACAATTTAATAGGCTATGTATAGGGCATCACCTTCTACCCATCCACTCCTTCAAACTTGGCCTTAAGGATTCACCATTCTGCACACTTCACCTTAATGAATGTTTCTGTGATTTATCCCATATCCTATTTGACTGTCCTGCCCTTCAAACCAAACGCATTATTTTAGTTAACTTACTCAAAACTCTCAATATCCCCCTTAATATCTACTCCATACTCAATACAAGATCCACTATCGCCATTAAATCAGTAATTTCCTTTATATTGGATGCTGGCTTTGTTATATAATATTAAAATGTAATGTATTATGTTGTATCGTGTATACTCGTAATTGTAAATGTTGAGCTATCATAGTATATACTAATAGCTAGGTAATAAAATAAAAAAATAAAATAAAAAAAAAATGTACATGATTAAATTTTGTTTTTTGTTTATTTAATAATATATAGGTACCGTATTATGAAATCGTATTAATCTTACTAGGTAATCTATTTGAAGTCTGCTCGTCACGTGTTCATGATTTGTAATTTTTTACAATAACACTTAACAAAATGCACCCCACCAGGGTGTCTTCAAATTAAATACGTACCTGTACAAATATCTTTGCTATTATGTTATATGCATGTCACACACCTTATTGCACTATTATATTATTAATAATTATTATTATTACCATCGTTCATCTAACCTAACATTCGAAACCCTTCAAAAGATATATGTTTACTGCGGTATACCTAAAGTTTAAGAAATTATAAGAACCAAATCATTTATTTGGTAAACATAATATTAAATTAACTATCATAATAGTATAATGGTAATAACAAATAATTATAAAATTATATTTTCTGTTGTTTCACAATTTTCATTAAATACAAAATTATAATTTATTATATCTAATACAAGCCTCGTTAGATTAGTCATGTATCTTAATAAAAACAACTAAAATAATATTTTATTAGTTACTAAATTAGGGTGAAGTCCTATTTATATATTTTATAGTATACACCTAATGGCTAATATTGTTTATCTGTTAACTTTTATAATACCTATAATAAAAAGATAAATATGATTGTTTATTATTTAATTATCTAGGTATGATGAACGAATGTAGAAATAATTATAAAATAGGTATCTTATAAACAGAAAAACAACTTTTATTGATATTCAATAAATAAAGCGAGCTGCTCACAATATGAGTTGCCACTTGCCAGTATACACAACAATAAATACATAAATACATAGGAATAAAGTTTATGATATTTGTTAACAATGTAAAGTAGTCAATAATAATAAGAGCTAATGTTGGTCTTAAATTTAACAATACCTAAATAATTAATTAAGTGAAATCCATGTATAATAAAACGGAGAGAGACTGAAACTTATTTTACTATGTATATAGAGGGTTGCTTATTTTGTATAATGAGCCTTTCAAAATAGTTCGACATACTTTGACAAGGTCCTTCATAGCGAGATTGTGCGATCTAAAAAATAACTTTAAGAATCCGAAGGCAGTACCCCGAACTCAAAATCAAAGTCTAAACATTCCCAGTTGACGATATCATATTATTGTTGAAGCCAAGGGATACACGGACGCACGGTTCATAGATACTTTTATTTTCTTCATTATTGCTCTATCTAGCTATGGATCATTTGTTTCCCAGTGAATTTTTGAGTCTAGAACGAGACCGCGGTTTTCGCTCCATTCTATTATGATGATGTTCGTACGACGGTTTTGAGCATCATTAGGTACCTACTTATTACCTGCTACTGATAAACAGTAGACTTCCTCGTTCTTCAACACTTCAAATGTTTTTTTTTAGCGAAAAGATCGGTTATAGAGGTACGGACTCGATGGTGAAATTAATTGCGCAACAATTCTGTTTTTGGACAGGCACCTCTGATGTGCGGTGGAGTTTCTATAATTTTATTCTCACTGCAGATTTCAAATATAAAGTGGC